TATATATATATATATATATATTTTTTTTTTTTTGAGACGGCTTGATCTGATAAGGTTGAAACTTTTCCAGAAGGCAGTTTGCTGATCATGTTGGAGCAAGTTTATAATTTAGAGTGGTAAAACACTGCATTTTTCTTTTTCCTTGGCAGCTGGCTGATACAGGGATCCAAACCCTTGACCTCTGTGTAATCAGCACCATGCTCTTCCTACCAAATGAGCTAACTGGCCAGTCTCTAAAAACACTGTATTTTAAAATGTTCTTATTCTTTCCATCCAGTGGATAATGAATTAGAGGGATAGTCTGGTCCCAGTCTGCTACTACAGTGGATCTTGGATTCTTTGGATCAGATAATCTAGTTCTTTCTAGTTTAAAAATCTAACAGTTTTTCTAGTGTTATTTTGGTGCAGTTCATGGAAGGACTGATAACCCTGCCACTTCATTTCAGTTTGCAACTGGATAAAACTATTATCCTCTTCACTATATGTAGCCTCTGGGTTTGTAGTATGAATGCTGACTTTATCAAAGAACAATTCTTATTTTGTAAAAAGTATTTTTTGTCAATCAAAAGTTGGTATGGACAAACAACCCAGGTACCAGATGTAGTACTTGCACAACTGGTCGTGCTGCTTGGGGAGGAAGGAAGCTCCACCCTCTTATTACCTCAACTCACTGTGTTCTATGTTGACACATAACAGATCAGAGACTAGACTCACAACCCAGAAAGAAATTTTGTCAACTTCATCAGAAGCAGGGTTTTAGAGCACTGTCTTTCCATGTGGCTTTGCCAAGGAATGGGGGGAGCAGGATATGAAGTGCTCCTTTCTTGACTTTCAGAGAAATTTTAAAGTACATGACTGAAAATGGACAGAATACCTTTTTTTTTCCATAAGAAAAAAAGAATCCTTAGAATAATTTGATGAGGAATTTATTAATGTTTGGCTTATTTGTGGTATTTTCCCCTAATGAATGAGACAGATCTTTTGATTTAAGGCTCTGCAATCAGTATCATGAATGCTGGTAAAAATCTATTTGCTGTTTTGGCCAAGTTGTCATTTGGGAAGAGGAATGGGAAAGCAGATAACTATACAAGTCTAATGTTGGAGGAAGTACTTCTGCACGGTAAAGTGAAAAAGCCTTGTCAAATTCTTTGCATGCAGAAATTGTAAGCCACACAAAAATAAAACTTTTCTGAAGGCCACTCCTGTTCAGACAACTATATAATTAAAATATGGATTTATAATCTTTTTCTTGCCCACAAAGATAGTGTCAGTGATATAAACCTGCCAAAGATGACTTCATTGTCGTGAGGACAAAGAAATTGATGTGGCATAATTTTGATTAAAATGTCTTAGAGAATTCTGGCTCTCTCTGACATAAGTCACCTTTGATACTTAATTTAATAGTCAAAGGATTTTAGCACTTGTTGCCATCAGAATGGAAACTTTAAATTGATTTGGCTGTCAAAGCTGATGAGAATATTGCCATGTCAAAAATCTCTATATAACTTTGACATTTTATTCAAATCAAATAGCAGGATTCTCATTGAAATTCATTTTTAAGCAGCTTTAAAGTTTACCCTTTTCTTTCATTTATATAGTCAAGGAATTTACTTCAAATTTTTTCAGAATTGGCCATTAATTTTGCATAAAAGTTCGATTAAACATGATGAATTAATCAAATATGTATTATTACCACTCCCTATTAGAATCTCAAGTGATAGAAATAAAAACAGGTGTCATCACCTACGACAAAGAGAATGGAAGACAGGTAGTGCAAATGAAAGATTAAAAATGAAAAAAAAATGTTTGGAAGCCAGAAAGTTGACTGATATTGCAGAGGAAGCTACAACCTAAGGCGTTAAGAGTAGTGACACCAATGAGAAGTCTGAGATAGAGACTGATTATCCTTATGTAAAGTATCAAAAACAAAACCTACACAAGGAAAAAACCACATGCAAATTTTGGATTAAGGTACTAAAACCCACTGTCTGGGGAAGACTTTCATTAGATTCTTATAGGGATCCACGACAGAAAGTAAAACAATAAGAGACTATGCTTTGCACACAAAATAAAAATTTCAGAATCAGATAAGTTCTTATGGATCCTCTAACTTCATCATCTTGGCTATGAAAGGGGAGAAGCCTCAAACCATTCAAGCAGGTACTGGCAAGAGCTGAGTCTGGAGCCTGGATCTCCTGACTTCCATGTCAGCATCCTTCCTCTTTAGAACACTGCCACAATGTCAGTGAAGTGAAATGCATATGAAGAGAGACCTGCGCCTTTATGTATTATATATAAAAGCCATGTAAAGGTGTGACCCTCATACCTGATCCTGGATACTGGAAGACATTTGGCTGCATCTGAGGATTGATTCCAGTGCCAAACTGTCCTCCCATGTTTCCTGTCATGCCTCTGTTCACCATGCTGTTGCGGCTGGCCAATGACGCTTCAGGATTTGCTGCCAGTTGTGAAAATGGGCTGGTAGAAGCAGGTGGGGTTCCTGGATTTGTACCATAGTTTGGTGGGTAGGGGAATTGCTGCGGAGCACCCTGAGGAAGACGGGGGTTCCCCATTTGAACTGGCGGTCCAGACGAGGGAGGGAGGTTGTTCCCAAAGCTTTGCTGCCTCATAAGCATGGCTCTCTGTTGCTGTATTAGCTGCCTCTGTCGGTGCTGTTGACTGTACAACTCTCGCTGACGTTGTGCCAACATTTGGGCATTCAGGGGTGGCTGCAAAAGAGGAAAAAACCTTCACTTATTAAAATTATTATAATTACTACCTATCTTGGAAAGCATATATGATAAGGCCTAGTAGTTTGGGGCAATAATATATGTTGCAATTATCGGTATACTAGGGAAACTAAAGCAAATAGGGACAAAAACCTCTTAAGTAATAATCACAGAAGAAAAAATGAATTAAGTGCAAAATAAATTAATCTTTTTATAAATTAAAAGTAGCTGAAAATGCTAAAACAGTATCTGACCACTATAACTGGTTAAATGCAAATTCACAATTATAAGTCACATGGAACTCAGAAAAGTCAAAGAAAATATATATTGATTAGTATTATAATACAGGCCATGAAAACTGTTAAAAGAAACAAAAACCATAAGGCAGTAAAAGAAAATGTGCTTGGTGACTTCTATCCTATCTGACATTAGATTGTTAGAAGACTCTTTTTCATTTCCAAAAAAAATTTACTGTGTTTCTGGTTTGGAGAAACTTAGTTTTCCCCTTTTCTCAATGAGATCATTTATGATACTTTCTTTAAATAAATAATATTATAGGTGATTTTAACTTTCTTCATTATACTTTATTTACCAAATTATCTATAATGAATATGCATTACTTTTGTAATTAGAAAAAGCTAAATACCATTAAAAGAAAAAATCAGAAATCCAGGATCCAGGGGCTGTCTGGTTAGCTTAGTTGATTACAGCACGGAGCTATAACACTGAGGTCAAGGGTTCAGAACCCCATTCTGGCCAGCCACCAAAAAAAGAAAAGAAATCCAGGATCCAATGCCTAATTATTTAAAAGAAAATAATTAACTAGAAACAAAATAGTAAACAGAAATAAATTTTATTTATTTCTTTTTTTATTTAGCTATTTTATATCATTATAGCTGGGTAAGACTACTCCGAGCACTAGTATAAGTGGTTTAATAGCTACAATATTATGGATGAGGAAAGAAGTGGTAAAATAGGTTGAAATCACTTTTCAGTTTAACATGCAAAGCAACATGGCATGTCAATAAAGCCTTATTCAGAAAAATGTCAATTCAAACTGAGGATCTGATTAAAGCATACAGTTCCATTAAAATTAAACTTGCCAACTAGATACAGTCCAATCTGGAAGAAACTGAGATATGACTTCATAATAGAAATCATCTTTATGTGAATTTCAAAAGTGGGGTGTTGTTTCCTTACAACCTAATTACTCCTGAATGAACGAACACTGTGATTTACAATTTATAAGACAGAGAAACCCAAATCTGGGCCCCAAAAGATGCCAGTATCCGCTTTGTTTCCTTACAACCTAATTACTCCTGAATGAACGAACACTGAGATTTACAATTTATAAGACAGAGAAACCCAAATCTGGGCCCCAAAAGATGCCAGTATCCGCTGCTTACCAGCAGCTTCTGTCAATTTTTATCCCTTTGATTAGTGTTGGTTTCTTATATTTGCCCAAATCCACCTAGGTCCATTTTATGGAGAAAAGAGTTTTGTTTGAATCCTCTCTAAAAACCCTCATCTCCCAAATTTTTGTGTTAACTTGGATAAGAAAACATAAATAAGTAGTTGAAGCAAAAACAAAGTACATGTGGGAGTAAAGTGAGTACTAGATAATACTCAGAAGGCTGCCCAGTTCTTTTCATGTTTAAAGTTCCAATGGCTCTGGGTTTATGTACATGGATCTTTAAAATAAATGAAAATTAGAAAATGCTGATGTTCAGACTGAGCAGAGTACACAAGATAGTTAAGACAGCTTAGCAGAGTGACTGGGTTTTGATCAGGTTTCAGGTACCATTCACACAGTTTCATAGCAGAGGCTTCTTACTACTGGTGCTATTCAGTACAGCAATAAGAGTTTTCTACTTAGTTATCTCGTATCCAATAACAATGATAACAATAACAATAAAACAAAACAAAGAACACTTGGCTTTAGATCAAAGATCAGTTAAGAGGTATTACTAGTAGCTTACTAATTCATTCCAGAAGAAAACTACACTAACATCATTAAAAGATCAGCTCACAGACCATTTCAAAGACACTCAAGTCGGGCCAGCCTGTGGCTCACTCGGGAGAGTGCAGTGTTGGTAACACCAAGGCCACGGGTTTGGATCCTATATAGGGATGGCTGGTTTGCTCACTGGCTGAGCGTGGTGCTGACAACACCAAGCCAAGGGTTGAGATCCCCTTACCGGTCATCTTTTTAAAAAAAAAACCAAAAAGAAAAACAAAGACACTCAAGTCAACACTGCCTGGGTTAGAGAAGTACGAATGGGCGGCTGGTTTTCTCACATTACCTGAGGTGTAATTTGCTGCTGCATGCCTGATCTCATGTTGATGCCAACAGGAGCAGTTGCTGCAAACTGGTTTAAGATAGCTTGCCGGTTTTGGTGTATTAACTAGAGAAAAATGGAAACAATGAGATACCATATTTCTACATACAAACAAAGCATGGGCCTTACAGAGCAAAACAAATTTTCTATTTATTACTAAAAAGTTTTAGTCTTGCAGGTTTAATAAGATGATTTCCCATGTTTATTTGCCAAAAGGCTGGCAATTCCCAACATTTATCAAACATTTATTATCTTCAAAACACTAAATATGGCAGAGCATTAAAAGTAGAATTTACACACATGTAGAAAGGTACTTCAAAAAGTTTGTGGAAAAATAGAATTAAAAGATAATAAGAATATTTCCATGAGCTTTTTGAATTAAAAGATAATACAAATTTTCCACGAACTTTTTGAAGTACTCTTGTACATATATATGTGTGTACATAAACACACATTCATTTTACTTTTTATAACATATTAATGGTTAGTTCAGATAAGTGTAGTAATGGGCGAAAAGAAACATCAGCCCTAGGTCTTAAAATATTGTGAATAAAAATGCAAGTATACAATAAGGGCACAGTCTACAAATGTCTGGAAGTTGAATGGAAAGTTGAGGTACTTGGAGGTACTATGGTGGGTACACATTTCGGAAAATCCAACATGATTTCAATTGCTGGAGAGAACTATGTAAGAACCAAATGGTCTGAGAAAATGGATTATTTATTTAACTAGAAGAAGTAATTACTTTAGGCCAGCATTTCCCAAATTGGTGTTCTAAAGAACATTGTTTTGCAGGATATTAATAGATGTGCCAGGAAAATAGCATGCTGTGCTGTATTAAGTATTGGAAATGACGGGTTATACAAGGTGAAACAGATTTATTTACTGCAGTAATTTTATGAGCCTTTAATTGGCCAAAGCACATTGCAGATCTCCAAGAAGGGGATATAGTATGCAATTCACCTATCACAATCTTTTTTGTGACATATAACCATTAACATTAATCTCCCAGAACAACCTTCTATGGAACACTGGTTTGTAAGATCAAACTAGATCAGGCTTAGGGTTCTAGGTTCTAGGCATGTCTTAACTTTATCTGGTAAAAAAAAAAAAGTATCCTGGGAAATGAGATTTCCTTGTAAACAATCTATAGGTTAAAAAATGAAGATCAAACTAGATCAGGCTTAGGGTTCTAGGTTCTAGGCATGTCTTAACTTTATCTGGTAAAAAAAAAAAAAGTATCCTGGGAAATGAGATTTCCTTGTAAACAATCTATAGGTTAAAAAATTTCTTCCTCAATAATTTTATATGAATAAACTAGAGAGATAATAGTAACAATAATATTAATACTATTTTACACATACGTGGTACTTTATAACAAATTATATGTAAAACATATTGATATATTTATATATTACATCTTATGTGTATGTAATATACACCTATATATCATAAATTATTAATATGTTTTCATATATTTTAATACACTATACATAAATTAGAAAGCCTATGACAGTTTCACAAGAGAATCCAAAGAGCTGTGAACAATGATTAAATCTCTCATTGCCAAATAGCTCAATTCTTAATTCTGGTTTCATTCATTTTCTGACTCCCATTAGATCAGAAAACAAATCCATTTTGGGGAAAAAATATAATGTAAGTATTAAAATTACAACTTTTAGGCATTGTGAAATAGGATAAAACATTCTGAATCACTTCAAAAACAAAGATACCAACATTATAGTTTTAGAAATCAGAGAGACTCTTAAGTACCAAAATCTACATACTACTTAAACTCAAACTCAAAAGACCATGGACATAAGTTTAAATAAATCAAATTAATTTTACAAAGATTCATCAAAAATTTCAGTATATTCAAAATACTATATAAAGTTTGGAGGCTACAAAGGCGAGCAAATTCCTGTTTTCTGGGAGTCTGTTGAGCGGCAGAGGCCAACACACAACAGGGCAATGCACAAGTGCTGTGTGTGCATATAGAGACATCTGCAACAGCACAGAGGGAGCAATGAACTCAGCCTAGGGGCAGGATGGCAGGGAGCAAAAGCATGAGTGAGTTCAATGAGGTCTTGAGGGATGAGAATGCCAGGTGGCAAGGAGGGTGGCAGAGTTAACGTGAGGCAGATGGAACAGCAAGTATGAAAACAGCAGAGGAGGCAATGAAGATGGGTGAAAATACATTAATACTTAGTGATGAAGAGAAGTAAAATCACAGGGAGAGTGCGAGTTGGGATCCCAAATGTACAGCTTTACATATTCATTGACTTGTGAGATAATGTGAGAATGAAATGGGTGGGGATGGAGGAAAGATGCTTGAGAATTAGTAACAGGCTGTTTTTCACAAGTAGAAGGAATTATTCTAAATAGCCGAAATCTACAAGCACTTTCTATTATAGAAAATTTGCTCTATTTCTGCCCTTGAAATAACCTTTGTTCATTTTTTTTCCTCCCCCTTGACTCTCCATGTGTGCAACTTGACTAATGCTGTGTACATTTGTCCCACTCTGACCTGCCTCTTCTAATTACTAAAATTCTACCTGTTTTCAACAAGCAGGTCAAGTTACACTTCTTCCAATGAAGCCTCTCTGAAGGATTATTACATCCTTTACCTCCTCAGATATCTTAACCTTTGGCAGGTTGGGAAGTGGTAGAAGAGAAGCTGGTAGTCCTTAGAGCTGGGGATACAAATTCAAAAGCCTATAAAGGCCAGGTCAAAAGGCTTGTTTGAGTACAAAAGAAAATGTGGGGCTTGTGGACAGTGGAAGAGTACAAACCTAGGCTATACATGTAAAACAAACACACACAGTTCAGGCTGGCTGTCACTTTGTATGCATGAGTGAATTTTTACCAATGCCTTACCAAGGAGTTATTCTATAGTAAAACTTAAAGATGATTATCTAGCCCAGAGGTTCTCAACCAGGGGTAATTCTACCCCACAAGGGACATTTGGCAATGTCTGAAGACATTTTTGGTTGTCACAATTTGAGGACAGGGTGCTACTAGCATTGAGTGGGCAGAGACTGGGGATGCTGCTAAACATTATTCAATGCACAAGACAGCCCCCCCACCAACAACAATTATCCAGCCCAAAAGGTTAAAGTGCGAAGGTTGAGAAACCCTGATCTAGCCATTGCATAAATGCTTGCCAAGACAAAGTGTTCTTTAGAAGTTTATTCTCTTAGGCTGTTTTCATTGCCAGAAATCTGGAGGTGAAATCTGCTGCCCTGTATTTTCTGCCCTTTGGTTCAAGCTCCATTTTCTGTTCACTTCTATTTTTTATAATATATGAAAGATTCTAAGTGGTGGTTCTTATACCAGACCCATACCTTTCTTCAGTGCCCTAACACTTAACATATCTGGACTGGATTTCTTTTAAGATGGCTAAGTATACCACACTTCTTCATCTGTCTCTACTGTTACTCCCTCTTTATATTATTCTTCTCTTGAAGGCATGAAGACCATGGTCCTTGCTAGAGAAAAAAACAAAACTGGAGTAGAATAATTGTATCTTTTGTCAGCCAATACAATACCATTTTCTACAAGCAGCAGGTCTCCCATCTTTGCTGTTGCTCTTTTCCCAAAATAGAACTTCCGAAGTCCTTTATCAGTATTATGGATATATTTCCTGGGTCTTTGCTCATATGAGGTGTAAGCTGACACTATGTCTAAACTCTGTATTACTTCTTAATCACCAGCTCCTTTATTTTAGCTGTTTTTTAAAAGTCTCAACCAATGCAGCAACACCAGTTTCCTACCACGTTTTTCATCTCCTTCCCTCAACAGGAGATTATTCACAACTGTATCATCGAATTTAAAATGTTAGAATCATTTTACTCCTTGTGTACTATATTCTAGTCAGTGAGATATACTCATGGCCAAGAAATCATATCTATTTATATCTTTTACTTTTTTTTTTTTTTCCTTTTTGTCCTTTTTACTGACCGGTAACGGGATCGCAACCCTCGGTGTCGCACCCACACCGCACTCAGCCAGTAAGTGGGAACTGCTCTCCACATGGGTTCCGAACCCTCGGCGGGAGCGCCGCCGCACTCCCAAGCGGCGCACTCTCTAGTGCGCCACCCGTACCGGGGGCCGGCAACAGGATTGCAACCCTCGGTGTCGCACCCACACCGCACTCAGCCAGTAAGCGGGAACTGCTCTCCACATGGGTTCCGAACCCTCGGCGGGAGCGCCGCCGCGCTCCCAAGCGGCGCACTCTCTAGTGCGCCACCGGGCCGGCCCTACTTTTAAGTTTTTAATTAAAAATTTTTCCACATCTATTTTTAGACTGATCTTCTTAAGATCCATTAAAAAGAAACAAACTATGATTTAGATCTGAGTATGCCCCTTTCTTTCTTTTCTCAAATCATTAGGCACTATGCTAACTGCTTGCCTGTGAGATGCTTACAGTCTCCTGTGTTTGGGAAGGGGTAAGGAGAGGATATGACGAGTAAGTAAACAGATGATATCAATCCAATGAGGTAGGTGTATTACAAACACCAGATTATGAACTTGATATATTATGGATACTAGTCCTTTGCCAGTTACATGGGGTTGCAAATATTTTTTCTGAGTCTTTGGCTTGTCTTTCAACCTTAATTATGGTGTCTTTTGTCTTATAAATTTTAATACAAACACTAACTTTTTTTTTTTCCTTTTTGTCTTTTTTCGTGACTGGCAACGGATCGCAACCCTCAGTGTCGCGCCCGTACCGGACCGGGACCGGCAACGGAATCGCAACCCTTGGTGTTGCGCCTGCACCTCGCTCAGCCAGTGAGCGGCCGGTCTGTATGTGGGATCCGAACCCTCGGCGGGAGCGCCGCCGTGCTCCCAAGCGGCATACTGCAGCAGTGCGCCACCGGGCCAGCCCCAAACACTAACTCTTTCCTTTATGTCTTTAAGAGGCCATAGAAATATTCTCGTATTTACATTTGGGTCACTAAAACACCTAGAGTTTATTTGTGTATATTGAGGGAGATAAGGATCTAGTTTAATTTTTTTCCCCTCATGGAGCCAAATGTATCAGCATTTATTACATAGGCCTTCCTCTCCCCTCTGATTGCCACCCCTGTCCCTTATTAAGTCTCTATACATGTTTGGGTGTGTTTCCAGGCTCTCTATTATGTTCCAATCGGTAAAACTGTCTATCCTTATGCCAGTTCCACATTGTTTAATTTCTAAAGCTTTGTTTTAAATCTCAATACCTGGTAGATAAAGTTTACCCTGATTTTTCTTCAAGACTGTATTAATGCTTCTAAAATAAATTTAGTATCTGTTCATCACATTCCATGTTGAGATTTTGTTGGTCTTCCAACGAATTTACAGATTAATTTTGGAACGATTGCCACCGTTTTATGATAGTCTTTCAGTTAATAAATACCTCTTATTTGGATCTTCTTTTTGCCTTTCAATTATGATTTATAATTTTCTAAGTTTTGCACATTGTGAATATATTTTAAAATTATATGCTCTAATTGGTTGTTATTTGTAAAAAGGATTGCCATTAATTTTTGTTTCTTGTTCTTTTATCTAAAAAGCTTACTGAACTTCCCTATTTGTTCTAAGTTCCCTGCAGATTCTTTTGGATTTTTGATGTAAGCAGGCGTATTATTTGCATACGATAATTGTTTCTTTCTCATGTTTGCTTTCTATATTTCAAAATAATTTAATTGTTTAGTGTGTTTATGGTATTCTCTTTTTGTCTAGACTGATATGAATTTATTTGATTAAAATATATAACCTGTTATTTAATAGGATGCAAGACAGGAGAAAGGGTAGATGCACTATCTTGGTTCACTATTTGATTCCAACTGTGATTCTAATTTACCTATTAACTTTTACTAGTATATTTAAAGCTCAATTTCCTGATTTTATTTGGCACTTTTTTTGTCAAACCACAGCCATTTTACTCTCCCTTCTTCCTTGAAGACAGGATTTTGTTCACTTGACCATCCAGTCACATAACTCAAGTGCCAGCAATTGGTTAAGGGTGTACATGTGACTCAGTTCTGCCTAATTGGACACATGAAGTCTTCTTTTCTCCTTTTTCTTTATTTTTTGGGGGTGGGGGTGGGAAAACAGCCTTCTGGAAAAAGTTTCCTGGCTTTCAAAAAGAGATGCATAGGAAAGAAACAGTCCCTTTTCTCTTACTAGATATAGTGTTGTTTGCATGTGATATGTGTAACCATGACATGCCAAGGATTACAGAGAAAAAAGAAAGAACCCGAGTCCTTGATAACATCCCTGAACCTCTGAAGTAACCATACCTGGACCTGCCTCTATTTTGGATTGTTTTAATATTTGAAATATTTTCTTTATCGTTTTACTACTTTGAGTTGATCTTTTTTCTTTCCTTGCTGCTGAAAGCATCTTAACTGAGATGTTGACTGAGATAAACTGCTCATGGAAAGCTCTTAAGTGGACACACATGCAAAACTCTTAGTACCAGCAGTGCAAGTGGAGCTGAGCACCCCAATGCTGAAACAGCAAGAACAATGGCACAGAACCCAAAGAGTAGGCCTGATATGTGGCTCATTAGACAGCAGAATTATGTGTTTTTTGTGATAGCAGAAGTTATTTCTGTGGGGCTGGCCCGGTGGCGCACTGCTATAGTGCGCCGCTTGGGAAGCGCGGCGGCGCTCCTGCCGAGGGTTCGGATCCCACATACAGACTGGTTCCCGCTCACTGGCTGAGCGAGGCGCGGGAGCAACACCGAGGGCTGCGATCCTGTTGCCGGTCCCGGTCCGGTACGGGCGCGACACTGAGGGTTGCGATCCGTTGCCGGACACGGAAAAAGGAAAAAAAAAAAAGAAGTTATTTCTGTGTACTGACATACCTGGGGGTTTAAAACATAAAAAAAAGAAAAAAGGGGGAAAAGAAGACTTCACATGTCTGACTGGCAGAACTGAGTCACATGTACACCCTTAAAACATAGTGACCCCCAAATTTTGTGTTTCTTCAAGTTGGTAGCTACTTCACTCTGCTGGGCTATCAAGGCCACCAGACTATGAACATACCTCCACGAGATTTAAAGGAAGCAAACATCAGCAACACTCACCTATCCGCATCCTTATCTCATGCATAGCCTTTACAGGCTACCCTGCCTGTCAGCTGCTTTAGGAGCAAATGAAGCAAAAACAACTTTTTCCTGAACTGAGTATGAATCATCATTTCACCCACTCATGAACCTGACCTAGGTCCTTCGTCTAGCCTTGCTCACTGAACCTTTAACTTAGGCAGTATTTACCGAACTTTAGCTTGTAAAATGAGGAAATCAGCATACCTATACTTTCCTCTACTTTTTTGACTTAGCACTTAATCATATACTGCTTGCAGTGTTATTTAAGTTTTCAGGTAAATATTTTGACTACCCCAAGCAGACTGTTAAGTTCTGAAATTTGCCTATATCTTTTATTCCTATATTCCTCACAGTACCTAGTATAGTCCCCCAAATATACTTTGTGGAAAATTAAATATAGAGAAACTACTAAGCACTTCTTATTCTTGTGCCCTCATTCTAAAGAGGAATGGCAAGCTATAACAAGTGGTTTATATTCCACTTGTTATAGAACACATTAATAATCTCTGTTTCACTTTTCCATGCTCTCTCCTCCTAATTCTTCTTTGAGTCCTTTATTTCACTCTAGCATTTAAAAAATTACTTTCTTGTTATTCCACCATTAAAAAAATTTTTTTCTATCTCATCTGTCCCTTTCTCTTCCTCTCTTTCATCACCTTCCTTTTATTAAGTAAAATGAAAGCACATTTCATATCATCTATCATATTTATTGAATATAATTTTATAATACCACCTAGTATTTAAGTGCTACTATATGCCAGTCATGGTGCTAACAGCTTTCCATGCTTCATCTCATTTAATCCATACAATCACCCATGAGGTAAAGGAATTATTTATTAGATTCTTTTTATAAACGAGAAATTAGAGGTTTTAATAGGGTAAATAATTTGATTAAGGCAACCCACCTAAGTTTAGAACTGGGACTTGGAACTAGAGCTAACTCTTAGAACCATTATATTATATTGCCTTTCTAATATAATTACCTCCTTCTTTCTTTTCCTTCCTGAGTTAGTAGAGGTCCATGCAATTTCTTAAAACAATTTTTTTTTTTTTTTTTTTAAAGATGACCGGTAAGGGGATCTTAACCCTTGACTTGGTGTTGTCAGCACCACGCTCAGCCAGTGAGCGAACCGGCCATCCCTATATGGGATCCGAACCCGTGGCCTTGGTGTTATCAGCACCACACTCTCCCGAGTGAGCCACGGGCCGGCCCCAAAACAATTTTTTAAAAAACCCAAAGCAATATATACATATATTTTTAAAAAATAATAAAGAAAGATTAATAACAAGAAGCAATAATCTATAACCCCAGTCCCACTTCCCACAGACAACTCTCTCAACCAGTTGCTTTTGTGGTCCTTGATGATTGTCTCCATATCTGCTGTTTATATAATCTTAAATATTTATGCCACTGTATCATCTACTCATTTCCTGTTACGAGAGAGAAGATTTAACTCACAACTCTCTGGCCCCCCAAACTATCCTTTCTTCTGTTCTCCTAATGTATTAATATCACTAGGCATCAACCTCTCCAACATCAAACATAAATAAACTTCATTTTCTGTTCCAACAATCATAAACAGTATTTCTTGATGTTCTACTTTGTAAATTAAGCTGTATCTCTTCATTAACTTAAATAATCGTATGATGTTCATTCTAAATATTCGGTATCTCAAAAAATATGAACTAAATTGCTTTTAAGTTGCAGGTCTCAAAGTGCTTTGTTATGAGCCAGCAGTCTTTAATTGAATGAAAAGGTCCCTTATCCGTATCTTAGCAGACCAATGATGGTTCTTTGAGTCTTTCATGCAGATTCTGGGAGTAGAATTGATGCCTTTATTGTAGCAATTGGGCTGCCTTATTATAAAGAAAACCTGGCACATACCTTTATAAAGTATAACCTACTAAACAAGAGCACTCACCTGCTGTTGTCCCTGTAATCGCTGTTGTAGTTGAAGTCGAAGTTGGTTGGGTGCAGCAGGAGGTCTGTTTAGAGTTTGCCTGGGCTGCATGGCCATCCCAGGTGAAAAAACACCTCGGGGAGGTGTTACTTGAACAGGCATAGTCCCCAATGAAGGTTTCTGTCTGACCATGCCTTGGAAAGGGCTTGGGAGATTGGCAGTAGGAGAAGGAGAAGAGTAAGGCTGGGAATAAAGGTTGGGCCTTTCTTCCATCATCAAAGGTGGTGTTGCTTGTTGTGGTGGAAATCTCTCTGATAATACATCTAGTCCACCACCCTGTTAGAAAAGAAGCCAGAACATTTTTACCAATACATTTCTGCCAACAAATGACATGCTTCTCTACATAACTTTGGATCTGAGAATGGGTTATCACTAGAAAATATTATCATAATATATTCATTCTGAATTCATGCTCTACAGAGGTTTGCTACTTAAAGGAATCATTATATTAGTTGCTTTTGAAATGGAGTAATAGATTAACTGAAATATTTAAAATCTCATTAAAGAGACAAAAATATGGTTAAAATAAAGTCCCTAAATCAAAAATGCTGGTCATGATGCGCTAAATTGGTTTTATCACCCATAGACTAAAAAATGCTAACTTGGAAGTTAGACTATATAGGTTGAAGATAAGCATGAATGAATGAAGGATAAATTAAGTCCTAATATAAGAACTGATGATATAAATCTGGATTCTATTCTAACTGGAGCTTGTAAAATTCTGTTCCATAATGAAAAGATAAGACTTCTAACTATTTCTAATTCTAACTATGATGAAAGTTTTTGTTTAAAAAGCCCATTATTTAATTATTATATATTTTGATAATTTTCACAAGGTGTAAATTATAAAACAGTTATCTAAAGCACAGTAGGAACAATATTGAAAAATCTTGCTTAAAAATCATTTTCTAGCTTAACAGGGCTGCATCATTTAAATAACGCTGACTTTAATAAATACCTGAACAAGTTTGTCAATTCCCAGAGCTCTGTCTAGTTCAGCTAGCTCAGTTTCATCTTTGCCACTGAGGAAGGATACCAGCTGTTCAAGAAGAGCTTTCTCATCATTTCTTCCTTCTACTGTTGTTGGTGGGCAGAGAAGCTCATCTAACTGTGAGCTAATACACTGGCTGCAAGATCAAAAGATAAAGTTTCAGACTGACACAGCAAATAATTATTCAATCTTAAGAATGCAAATATATAAACATGCACATATGTATATGCAAATCTGGTTCTAGAAAATTATCTGTTGAGATGCTTGACAATTAATTCTAATACAATGAAATAGCCTATGTTTAATGTGCAGAAATTAAATGAATATTTGGCATGCAGCCTGAATATATTTTTCATTCTTTTGTCAGTCACTGAACTTTGTTTCCATATTCTTCATGTTAGCTTACAGAAATAGCCTAAAAAATTAACCAAACATAGTTAAGGGGAAAAAAATTTTAATAAAAGTAAAAAATAAAAACCAGCCAAAAATTCAAAAAACCATCCTTTAGCTTATATTCAGATTTATTCTACTTATTCTATAAATGCCACTAACTACTGATAATTGAATCATAATCAAAATAGTACATACTATATTAACTTTCAAAGACGATCAAATCATATTGATAATATAACATGATTACCACTTACAAAAGAAATTGAACTGGGAAAATGAAATATGTTAGGCATTAAACAACAAAACAAAGTGTTCACTGATTACATGTAAAAAATATGAAGTCTAATCCAAACTGATACATAAAACATAAATATATAGAAAACGATACTAACAACACTACTATAATAATTATAAGGATTCTTCCTCTGGGACAGTAAATGTAAACACAGTTCATAGTTAAGGCTTTAAACCACACTCCATATTATCTAGTCATCCTCTGGTTGCCATGTATGAGGTACACTATGAATACAGTACAGTATGATGAGATGTATTATGGAATATAATTGCCTTGTGGATTAAAAAATTAAATTCTGATCAAGATGGGACAATGAATAGATGTAAAAAGTATTTTCCTTTCTTATATCTTCTTGCTCCAAACAAAGAGAAATACTGGACAAAATAGCTACATAACTAAAAGCTCAAGAGCAACATAATTGTTGTGCTGAGGCCAATTCACCCACAGATCCCCAAAATATAATGGTAATCAATCAAAGCAAAGTAATAGATAAAACATAAAACAACAGCTGCATACTATTACTATATCAATCTCTTGGTGATTACCTTGTGGTCATGCAGCAAATAAACCTCCTTAAAAGCAGAGAGTGTCCTCCTCTCTGCTTTTTTTCATTAAACATTTACATCTATCAATATCTCGCAAAATACCAACAGACTGAAATCCAGTTTAGAAAAAGTAGTTCTTTGCTTAGAAACTGGTATCTGATACCTTATAAAATATAACATGTATTACTTACTCTTCTGTTTTATTCTGATTTACAGTTGTCACTGTATTACTCGACCACGGAATCTGATCGCCTGTTCCTGGTTGCCCAAACTGGTTATCGATTGCTTCCAATTCCAGCTCAGGTAATCCTGATTGAAGAACAAAAGATAAGAAGTCATTGTCCCAATGGAGGATAAAATTACAATATTTTTCAAAAGTAATATATCATATAGTAGAGTGAGATTTCATGTTGAGTAAAATGTTACTTCAACAATAAGATCACTTATTCAAAAACTTAAACTATCTAGAATGTGGCTAGATAATAAAAAGTAAATGAGAAAGTGAGAAAAGGGTTCTGAATCGAAGAAGATCTGATGTTAAAAAGTTTGCACATAGGTTAATGTTACCATAGGAAAATCACTCAGGACTTTGTCAAAAATTATTTATTTTAAAGATAAATATAACAATTTTGGTTAACTGCTTTTTCAGTCTACAGTATATTAGAATAGCTATGAGTATAAGTAGGGACAGTGTCATTACCATGAAATGAGAGCTGCAAGCAATAGATAACATACATTCTATAATAGGCAGGGACAGAAACTAGAGTCTGAGTGCATTTATCAAATGGACAAAGCTCTACAGTTGTTAATCTGAGAATATAGCTTTATAATAACGGTATAATAACTAAGGCTCATAATGATGGCTCAAGTGAGAAAAGAGGTTGAATTATGTTTTATAATTGAAAAAAATAGTATATTATATGTATTTTAGGTTTTTCTGTAAGAATTTTTTTAAAGCTTTATGATTTTTCAATTTATACTAGAAAAAAATTATAAATAACCTAAATTCCAGAAATTTAGGTACTGATTAATGAATTATGGTATAGATATTGACAATGTGCTGTTAAATGGGAAAAAAAAGCATATAAGGATACTTCAAAAGGTTCATTGAAAAATAAAATTGAAAGATAATATGAATCTTTCTGTGAACTTTTTGAAGCACTCTCATATTCCAAAACATATTCAGGATGATTCTCTTTTATATAAAACTATTTCATTTATATTAATAGAAAAAAAAATTCTGTAGTGATTATAGATAACTTTTTATAATGGTTATTTATAATTTCTAAAATTAATATATATTAGTTTATCATTGTTATGGGCTGAAAGGTGTCTCTGTCCCTCCTCTCCCCTGTTCCTATGTTGAAGCCCTACCCCAGTACTTCAGAATGTGACTGTATTTGTGTTTGGAGATAAACTCTTTAAAGAGGTAATTTAGTTAAAATGGGTCATTATGGTAGGCCCTAATCCAATATGACCAGTGTTTTCATAAGAAGAAGGGATTAGGACACAGATAACACAGAGGGATGACCATATGAGGACACAGAGGGAAGGTGGCTATCTCCAGGTCAAGGAAAGAGGCTCAGAAGAAACCAAATCTGCTGACATCTTGATCTTGAACTCCTAGCCTCCAGAAATGTGAAAAAATAAATTTCTGTTGTTTAAGCAAATCAGTGTGTGGTATTTTGTTACAGTAGCCCTAGCAAACAGTCTTTCTTTTTTCTCGTTTTTTTTTTTTTTTTTTTTTTTAACTAAAAGAGCCTTGGAGTTTTAAGAGAAAACTTATTCAAGTAGAATTCCGCATTCTAATGAAGAATAAGTGTATTTAAGTATGTCCCCCAAAATGCATTTAATGCTGGATATTGATCATTATTAACCGCACAAAACATGTTGGGCACACTTTTATGTGAAATATACTCAATATTTAGTATAAGTGAAAAATAGGAGTCTATATAAACACATTCACTTTTAAGTGCATATAATTACAGCTTTCAATTAAACTGTCTCTATCATGACAAATGATAGAGAAATCAAATTCTGCAGGATTCTGAAAAATAAAACAAAGCCAAACTACAACAAAATGGTAATAGGAAAGTAAATCACTTAATTCCTGTCATTTTTAAATCAGGAAGTTAGTCAAAGAAGATTATCTAAAGCTGTCCCATTGCTATGCTTCACACTTAATTCTTTAATCTTATTCCTTTCAAGAAATTATATTTAAGAGTCTAAGAAAACGTACATGACTGTCTATGTCTATTGTCAATACTAAGTACTACACCATAGTTTGACTCAATAATAGGACACAGTATCTCATTTTACTAGTCTCAATGAAAAAAATGTTAAGAAAATAAGTTGGATAAAATATTTTCAAAATAAAGTAAGATTCATGTGCTGAGTTTGGTGACTAGGCAAACAAAAATAAACAAAAAACCCCCCAAACAAACCAAACTTTGATTCAATTAAAATTTTGTTTGCATAGGCTATGTGCTTAAAAGAAGTTGGTTTATATTCCTAAAAGTCACTTCAACCAATTCAAACTTCCTTTAGAAACTACCTTCTATAAAAAAATTGAAGGGTTTCCTGGAATCTTTTAGGAAATACACAAGTTATCTCTCTTCGTCCGGGGAATAAACATACTATTTTTGGTCATGTTTGTGTCCTAACACAAATATGAGTAAGTGTGTATACATGTAATATAAGACAAGCACAGTCATTTTTGTTGAAGAGAGGCAGCTGAAGTGGGGGTAGAAAACAAGCCTTTAGGGATCAAGCTATTAATATTTGCTATCGTCTTTGCAAAGAGCTCGACATCAAAATTTCTCTACTTAAAATCTGTTTAAAAGGGAATCTTTATATCCCCATTAGCCACACATAACCCAGCAAAAACCCTCATATTATTAAATAACTTAAAAATGTCTGCACACGAAGTAGAGAACATTATCTTAATCATGTGGATGGCTTCTGCACATTCTACTCCTCTAACAGTTGATTCAGTATCCACTGACTCTGATGTTCACAGATTTCTTCAGCAGCTGTTGGTAAGGAAGTTTGTGGTTCAGTTTTATGTTACATTTGGCAGTAACCATGCACAGCAGTTATAAGGTTTTTTTTTTTTTAAATATGATGCAGACAAAGGAATAATTTCTGTAATACATAAAAAAACTTCTATAAATCAGTAAGATAAAAACCCTATAGCCCAACAGATAAATGGTCAGATATATGAACAGATCACTAAATCACTGAAAAATGATCAACCTAATTCACAATAAAAGAAATATAGATTAAAACTACATTGAGATACTTTCAAAAAATAAAATGATCAGACTGGCAAAGATGAGAAAGTGTGCAATTCAACTAAACTAAAAAACTTGCAACAGGAGAAAGAGATTTTCCAAAAAAGGGGATTTTCCCAGAATCCTAGAATGACTCCATGCTCAGTGGTCATTTGAGAAAATTAAGAAACAGGCAATGGGCAATTGCTGGGTAATTAAAGGACGACTGAACAGCTGCCACTAGGCCTCTGCTTTGAGTGCAGCTGACTCTGGCATCTGCCCATGGGATTAAAATGGTGAGTACATGACTCCAGGTGGGTGTTCCGCCCAGGGGATCTTCCAAAGTGGGTACTAAGGCTGCCCCAAGGGATTTCTCCACCATGAGGCTCTGTTCCCTCACGGCAACTGAGAGATAGGGCTTCTATAACCAGAACTGCAAGGGGAGAACGGCTTCTCAATTTTGCTAAAGAAATACACTAGCTATCAATATTTTTTCATTCTAGGTCTTTTTCAATATATATGGAGAAATAGTCAAAATTCACCAAACATTTAAGAAAAGTCAACAGCAAGAAAGAAAGATATCAAATTTTGCAAAGAGGGCCGGCCCGGTGGCGCACTGCTACAGTGCGCCGCTTGGGAGCGCGGCGGCGCTCCCGCCGAGGGTTC